CGACGCTTCTCAGGACATCCTCTAATCAAGTGAGGACCATCACAGAAGTAGCACTTCAGCTTTTCCTTGCTCCCCTTCTTCTTTTCCCCGAAATTGGCCTTGCCATTCTTTCTCGATGGCTTTCCTTGGCCGCGAACAGTCGATGGCTTAACTTGGCCACTCGAAGAGCTTTCTCTACCATCTCCCCACTACACCTTTTCTCGGTCTCCCCCAATTTTGCCACTATCCCTGGGCATGGGCCTGGACGACACATCGCTCTTTGGCTTGACATCTGTAAGCTCAGTTGGCGTTCCGGCTACAGCTATGGCTTCCGAAAATCTCTGGGCATCACCTTGCTCTCCCCCGAGCATCTCCCCTGGTATAAGTCCTTCCAAGAAGGTCTTGAGCGCACCCCATTCACTCATTGCTCCCTTGCATATGAGTAGCTCCCTCTTGAGCTCATCCACCTCGCTTCTCAAAGCCGCTACCTCGGCTTCTTGGTCATTCCTCCCTCGAACCATCTCCAACTCGTCTAGAACTCATTACGTCTCGACCTTGAATCTGCCATCCATGGACTCTAATCGATCAAGGCGGGACTCCACAACACCCTGGGTCTGCTTGGCCTCATCCTCGGCTTGTTCAAGTCTACCGACCCTTTGTTCCCACGAAGTTGAGATATGCTCTAGATTAATGAGCCTCTCTGTGTGGTCAGCAATACATTCCATCCAGTAGGCCCATTTCTCGTACAGCGAGAGTTCTTCTCCTTGTTCCTCATTAAGACTTTTCTCGTCTTCATGAGAGAACCTGTCGTCTTGCTCGGACATGCCTTCGGCGTCACCCTTGAGCCTTTCTACTTTGAGAACCGGCTCCTCTTGGTGTGCTATCGTTGCCTCGAGCATTCCTTGCGAACTCGTCACGACATCCTCATGCTTGGACACCGACGATGCTCTTGAGCCCAACAGACTCTCTTCCCGTTTCCCACCATGGCACTCCTTGCCTTTGCGTGCGGAAACTCCTCTTTTCTTGTGCCCCATTCAATTAACAAAGTAAATTGATTGAAAGTAAGTAAAATAAAATTACCCGGTTTCACACCTTCCACCAAACTTGGTCAAAAGCATCGTTGCTTGCCCACAACGACTCACTCTGATACCACTTGTCACGCCCCCAGAACTTCGACGCCTCACACCGTCGGAATATCAGAGTCAAGGTCTGACGGGTCGTGTGGCCTTAGATGCTTTAGATGCTCCTCGGTCTTCTTGGCGACTAAGTAAGCCTTACCCAAGCTAAGTGAGTGTGCAAACTCACAAAGGTTGGAACCAAGCCCTCAAGGCTTCGAATTGCAGAAGCTTTAAAAACCAATGTGGCTACTCCGAGCCACAAGGTCGGACTATCGTGTGGAAGTGCTAACACGAAGGTGGCTACTCCTGGCCACCAAGATAGGCAACAAGAACAAAGAAACTAAAGAACTCAGAAAGAATAGAGCAAATGCCTCAGAGCTTTATTACTCTCTCACAAAGAGAAGAATGGAATTGGGTAATCACAAATGAGGAGGAGAGCTCTCTATTTATAGGGGAGCTCCCTCTCAATCGATGGCTAAGATCGTTTTACATGAAGGGCTAGGATTGATTCCCACCTAACCCAATCCCTTAAATCAAGAAAATCCCACCTAACATTATCCTTCTAGAATCCTCCAAGGAACGGGCCAGATCTGATGGTTCTGGGCAAGCCCAATAGTCTGTATAATTCTCTTACAGATATCTGCTCACATGTCTCGGTTCGAATCCACGAGCCTTGACAACACTACCCCTATCGCCCTCGTCGCTCCTCTCGGACGCCTCGGAATAGATCCTTCACGGACTTGTTAAGCATTCTCCAAGAATTGGCTAAGTCTGGTGGTCACGGTAAGCCCGATTCTCAGTATTGAACCTCTTGGTCGGACGCTTACACCAATGTCTCGGACCCAAGTTTCTAGCCCGTGACAATTGACATTACGAGCTCCTTGATTTTCCCATGAGAAATTGGGATGATGACTCCATCCTTGGTTATATGTGTTGGTGTAAGGGTTGTTATTGCATCTATTGAAGTTTCATGTATAGTTGATGGATATTTGATTGTTCGGGCATTCACATTCATGTTGATTGCCTTGGCATAACAGACATGCCAAGCTATCAACCTTCACTTCTTTCACCTCATTAGAATATTGCAAATCCTTCAAAATATTGGTGATGGTAGAGAGTTGGGTCGACACTGAATCTTCAGCTTCTAACTTGAATGTCCCAGATGCCTTCCTTCTAGTTTCAAACCTTGAAGAGGGAAATTGGTGATCATGGTTAGCAATTCGATCAAGAATGCCAAAAGCCTCTTCAGGTGATTTGTCAAGTAAAGTGCCATTTGTCCAGGCATCTAGCATCATCCTCGTGGGTGTATTGGCTCCATTGTAGAACATCACGACTTGAGTCCAATCGTGGAATCCATGGTTGGTACATTTATGAAGCAATTCTTTATAGCGGTCCCAACAATCATGCATTGACTCATCATCAGCTTGGTAAAAGATGTTATGGCATTCCTAAGATGGTTGTTTATATTCGGTGGATTATGCCGTAGAATTTTTTTTTTTTCACAAGTCAGCCCAAGACCTTATCGAGCCGGAAGGTAATCCATTGGGTCATGCCCTGGCATCATATTTAAAAGAATATGGAAATAACTTCAATTTCAGCACATCTTCATGCACACCTTCTTGTCGAAAGGAGTCACAGACCTCCAAAAATTCTCGAACATGTTGCCTTGCATCCTCATGAGGAGCACCACCAAACTATCCAATCAAGTCCAACATGTCGAACATAACTGGTTTGAGCTCGAATTGGGTTGCCTGAATCTTAGGAGTTATAATAGCAAGTTTTAGGTCATCCAAGGTGGGAGCTAAGTAATCTCTAATACTTTGTGGTCGAGCAGCATTATCAGCATTTGGAATTGTCGTGGCATTTAAAACTACAAGATCCTTCACCTGATTTTGAACAACGTGAGCCTTAGGTTCAATATGACATAATGGTTCTTTGGGAATTTTACGTGTCATGCGATAACGTAACACCTGAAAAAGGTAAACACAAAAACAAGTAACTATATACAAAGAAAAGAAATAAAATGGTACAACAACTAAACTCAACATCATCAATTGTCAATCCCCGGCAACAGCGCCAAAAACTTGTTGCGTATTGTGAGTACTATAAAATTATACGTAAATAATGTGCAAGTATACACAATCGCTCAAATAATAAAGTGATGAGTGAGTATCATCTCCAAAGGGATTGAAAGGATATTGAGAGAAGTTTATGCACTATTCTATCTAAGTATAGTTAGTCTTGATATATACAAATGTCACGACAAATGAAAAATGTATGATGGTGGATATAGATTGATGGTTTGATGGTGTAGTAAATGGAAATGCAGTGGAAAAAACAGATTTTTAATGTTGAGTATGGTAAAATGTCAAGGCAATGAAAAATGGTAAAAACAGTAAATAAATAACAAATGAAATGAAAAGTAGATAATCCTCACGTGACAAGCTTCCAATGGAATGAATGGTAGGGATTGATTTGAGGATGCTAAACTTATTTCTCAGACATGTTTAAGTTTTATGGACTTCACTTACTCGACAGGGCTTTCCTAGAGTGTTCTTAAAGGAACCTAACAGAATAGGATGCCAAGGCATCCGCTCTCACTCAACGATGTTGGTCAGCCTACCCTATTGATAAAAACACCCTTTTTAGTCGTTGAAATCCTATCTTAGTCTCTCCTGAGATCTAAGGGATTAGGTTATAATATTCCTAGGCCGGTTCAAAGCCCCTTGAAAATACTATAACCCATTGCTCATAAGGATCTTGACTTGTGTTTCTCTCAAATACTACAAGTATTTTTAGTTTAGGTTTCTCTCGAACACCTAACCTTCATCTAAGAAATGGACACTCCCATGCCTTTTACAAGCCTAGATGGTGAAGCATTCATAAGCAAAGCAAATAAAGAGCCAAGATAAACTTAAATATACCATTAAAATAAAGTTTAAACAACCATAAAACTAACCACCACCAAATAAGTTAGTTCATGGTGGGGTTCGAAGTATCCACAAAATAAATCATGAAAATATTCGATCCAACAACCCATAAATAATATAAAAATAACATAAAAAGAGAAGTGAGAAAAAGCCTTCGACGCGTGCCACCGGAGGTCTTCTCGGCCACCACGAACCACCTTAGCTCGCTAGCTTCTCTCGACACCTAGCTCGCCACTCCTTGAAGCTTTATCCATGGAGGAAAACCCAAGGAAGAAGAAAGGAAAAGGAAAATAAAAATCTGATTTTTCTGTTACAGTATGCGTCTCCTTTCTTCCATACACTTTCTCTATTGTGAGGTGTAATATATAATAAAAATATCTATGGGGTAATGATGAGGTTGTTGGGTGAAAAATATCCCTCATACCCCTAGAGTCACACCTTGTGCGTGAACCTTATCCTTCAGGTGGAAGTGGTCCCATAGCAGGTGGTTACAACCATCATTTCACGTGTAGAGCCAGCTGGTCTCGTACAGCTGTATCTTTTTGTCGTTTTCTGCGCCAGAAATGCCAAGACATTTTAATCTGCATGTGATGCTGCGGCATTACTTCCCAGCTCGCTTATTTTTCTTGTTATTTCCTATATATCACTAAAAAAAATACCTTCCTCCTCATATAGCACCTTAATAAAATAAAATAACACAACTACAAAAAATACAATTATATTTAACTACATACATCTAAAATGATCTATATGTACCCTTAAACAAACAAACAATAACTTAAGTAAAAAAGGCCTTAAAATAGTCTTTTTACGGAGTTATCAGGCACACTGCTTTAGATAAAGAACCTTTAATAAAAAAACTTATTTCCCCCTTAACCAGTATATCTTCTTGGCTAGAAGGAATGCAGCGATGCATCTCTCCTTGGTGTAATCGTCGAAGACCAAAAGCGTGGCCTCATTTAAGCCCGTAATAATGGTTTTGGGACCTTCAAAGATCCCACAAGCCATGAAGTCGACACTGAGCACAGTAATACTTGAAAGAACTGCTGTGATTTTTATACAATCACAGCCTGAGATCCGCCATGTTGCCAGCTGGACGACTCGGAAGTTACTCCCCTCCGAAGTCTGTATCCCAAATCAAAGACTATTGTGCTAAGCTAACGTCGACAAAAACTCTCCAAAATTATGGGGAATTTGTCCCACTATGGGGGGGTGTCGGTGACTAACCCGAGATATCGATGCTACCGTTAATACGGGGCATCGACTATTGTTGACCTATCCATATAACATTCACAACCGGCCAGGCCTTACTATAACCAATCGACCAGTGTTGACCACTCAATCTTTTACATCGATGTATCGTAGACAATTCCAGATTCCCTCAGACGGATGCCACTAAAAAAGCTGATTATCGCATATTTTTAGAGGCCGTACTTTACCCATCCGACCCCTTAAACTCGCGATTTAGAAAATAAAATAGACCATTCAGGACTTTTTCCTCATGTCGCTACCAGCTACAGATCAGATATGACCGGTTGAAGAAAGAAGAAAAGATCGATGAACGATTAAGCGAGACTTTGCCTTAGAGACCAATGAAATGCGACCGGGAAGCTTTATTACACAAAAGTTTTTTGAAGACTTCTTGCTTCTGTTTCCCTGCTTACTATTGCTATCACCTCAACTGCTTTTGACTTGCTCACTTAGAATGAAGATCAATAATAATAATGGGCGGAAAGGCTTTACACAAGACCACGAAGCAAGAAAGAGAGCCTTCGCTTACCTGCTTAACCGTGCCCTCCTATCGTACCTATATCCCCTTTCCTTCAGTTACATTCAGTCTCAGTTCTGCTTCCAACTACCGATGGGAGAAGGCTTGGACGTATAGCAAGATTAAATAAGAGGTATGGCATACGGGAATGGTATATAAAATGAAAGGCTGGAAACAGAGCTGGAGATTAGCGCTAGCCAATGGTTAATACTTCAGAAAGCACCGTAGTAATTAAATTACCAATAATGCCCCTATCGACCTCAGTCTTGTTTTTTGCTAGCTTGAGTCTAGAACTCTACTATCTCATTAAACGCCGAATATCCATATAATAATAATATATTTTAATGGAAGATAGTCGGCCCACTTCTAGCCGTTCAAGCGATTATGCCTGCTCTAGCCCTACCATCCACCCCTATCATAATAGAAAGGGGTACTTTCGAGCTGATCTGTAACGAATCAAAGCGACCGTTAGTCGGGCTGATCTGTGATTGTTGGTCAAGGCGACCGAGAGGACACATACCTCCTCCATATTCCTTAAATGGGCAAGACTCGGGTACTGCATGCTAGAAGTAAAAAAGTTTACTGAACAACTACTTATAATTATAATAAAAGTAAAAAGCTGGAATCTGAGAAGACAAGACCCCCTAAGAGCGTCTTGTAAACCAATTATTCGATCTGGAGATCCCAGCAAGGCTGCCGGAGACATCACTAAACCCAGGGATGTCTCTTGCAAAGAAGAATTCGTAGAGATTTTCCCAGAACCCCAGTCCAGCCTACCCGACTTATATAATCTAGAATATACTCTCCGCCCTTATTAGTAGTAGGCGAATAGTGACCCTATTTGTATGCGCATTCACACGAAGGGCACGTTCCAAGATCTCCCGCAACGAGAACCTAACACATGGTTTATTGATAGTAAACTGATTAAATAAAATGAATCATAGGTTGGTTGAATATTGAGTTCCGCTTAGGCTACGTGTTCTGTTCACGCGCTACTAAGCCGCATACATGATCTTAGACAGGTTTCGTCCCCTTTCCTTTCGGGAACACCTTCTTACTAGTAGGGGCTAAGCCTGATGCAAATATACCGAAAAAAGAAGATATCTATGGTCGATTCTACGAAGAGTAGATTCGCCCCTTATGTTATGGCTCGTCTCGCGCTTAGTCCCTCGCGGGATTCGGATAGGGGAGCAGCAAGTCTTTTCTGAAAAAACTCGCAGTTCTCCCTCTTATCTAATATATATATATATATAGATACTAACTCTTTGGTTGGATAAGACAGGAACTTCTATAAAGATCTTTCCACCCATTCATCATACTCAAAGTCGAAGTCACAGCATGGGAGGCTCGGAAAAATAACGAGAATTGGCGTCGTGGTGGTGCTACGAGATGGCGATTTATCGTATAGAAGAATAGATCCGCGGACCTATTGATTGACCATAGATGCGAACCGATCGACTGCTATCTAAGAGAAGATAAGTAGTTCTTCTATCGAAAAAGGGCAAGGGGAGAACATGTAGAGGCTTGCCTAGATCTCATATTTCTCACGTAGTTCGTAGGTCAAACCAATAATTTTCTTCTTAAAGTAATAGAGAGATTCTTTTTCTTTTTTCGATATGTAGCTTTGCGAGCTAGGAACGAATCATCGGGGCAGGGCGAAAACGAAAATAGGATCATCATCATGACCCTTTTCTTGTTTCTTTTGTTTGTGTCCAGTCTGTTCTGTGTGTTTTTTTTTAAGGCTTTTTCGGCGGCTGCTGCTCTAGGGCATCCAGTTCATCTTCTTTCTTTTGCTGTTAATCTCACATTGAGTCCTTCTTGTTCAGTGTCATTAGATGAGAGATCTTCCTCCGACTCCGAGAAAATAGGTCAAACGGGAGGCTACCCTCGACTCACCTCTCTATCTATAAAAACCCCTTCCCAGAGGAGAGCAGAAGCTCCAGGATGAGTATGTCCTGGATTCCGGGATTCATTCTCGTCTTGATCCACTATGGAATTTTCGAAATCTACAAAAACATTCTAGGAGAGGGCTCGTAATGATCTTCTCAAAGATCACAAGGTTCTGAAGTGGCAGGATAGGTAGGGGGGATCTGTAGGTTTTTGTGAAAGGGATGCTCTTATCATGTTATTGCTGAAAAGAAAAATCGAATTAAATAGAGGAATTCGATTTGCGAAATGTCGGCGAAAGCTCTGATTTCGTTAGTGTTCAGTTAGAGCGAGAGGAGCATGGATTTGTTCCCTTACGCCAGGCAGTCAAGCGGTTCGGGTTCTCGGGTGCGAGGGAAGAAAATAGACGGTATAGCAATTATGGATCCCACGAATTATTCCTTCTATGCTTGTAGGAACGGAGGGCGCGATGGAATCTCTTTAGTTCGCTTGGTCCATTAAATACGGACTTTTCACGTGATTTGCCCCGCTGATTGAATGTAGGGATGGATCACTCTCTGGCGCTATCGCATCACATAAGGAAATCCGCCTGGCTTTGAAAAACCAGGTCTGAAGGAACCTGGGCCAAAAAAGACTTCGCATTTGAGACCTTAGGCGATCAGGTTACCGGCCCATCGACCCCGCAAGGTACTACTGATGGGCTCATTGGCTCTTTCGCTTTCTCGATCTCCAAATGTGGACAGATTAGCCGTCAGCGAATAACTTCTATGTAACTTATTTAAGCGCGCCTTCGCATACTTATATACGATACCATATTCTCGGACTTGTACGGGAAAACAACGCGAAAAACCCACCAAAAAACTCCCCGTGGAGATGGTTTTGCCTACCTTTCCGATCGGCGCCTTTCCCTCTCCTTTCAGTCGAGACCTTCGGACCTCGGGAGATAACACCGAATGGAATGTGTTAAGCAAATTGATACATTCATTATGATTGGGATGCTTAGAAGGCGAACGTAATCTTATATAACAATAACCGTTCGATTGGCTTGAACGCTTTGATATCCCTTTCCGCTCGTACGAGAGCACTCCCCTTATCTTGCCAAGTGATTTCCCACAATGATTCGTTGAAGTACCGCGCACGATGCTGAATGAACTACCTTTTCTTTTCCCTAAGCTACCTCGGACGTTGCTTGGGTTCAATTTAAAAATTATTGAATCGAGTGAAGTTATAAAATAAAACTTGGATAACTCAAAATTTTTAATAATTAATGGATTGTCTTTCAAGTTTAAATCAAATCCCTCAACTCTACATAATATATATATATATATATATATATATATATATATATATATATATATATATATATATAATAAAAAATCATTTAAATTGTAATCAAACAATACCATAACATTATAAATATTTACAATTAAATTAAAACAAAAACTCAACTCCACTTGATTTTAATTTAATAAACTCGACTCGAAAAAAATTCAACTAAAATTTGACTTATAAATAAAACTCATCAACTCAACTCGACTTGTCCTTGAATCATGTTCTATGAACTTTAGTGTTGGGCTTCCTAAGTTCAGGTTGAAGTTCAAGGTCCGTGTCCTTGATTTAGACTTTCACCAACATTTTTCAAAACATAAGTCTTTAAACCGCGGGGTTTTACAGAGTCAAACCATCCATTTCATATATATATATATATATATATATATATAATCCAACTCTCTGAATCTCTATCCTCATAAATTGTTCATATAAAAAACACTTTAAACCCAAAGTTTCCATCCATATGGCTTCTGTTAAAGTGACAAAGTTCAGTGTTGCCTTCATTTTCTGCATTATTTTGCTCCATCAGCATGTTTTGGCCACGAGGCCTCTGCATGTGCATGCAGCATTCAACGAAAACCTAATAATTCAGGCGCTTCCAAGAGGTCCGGTGCCGCCTTCGGCGGGAAATCCATGCACGAATATACCTGGACGTAGCCGTGGGCGGTGCACGTTGGCCGAGATGGATGCGGTCGGCAGCGGTGTTGTTCATCATCCTCATGCACCTCCACCATTTCGTGCCTCGATCTTGAAACAGACCGAAAATAAGATTTCAACCATTTGACATTTTTATTGAATGTTACATATGCGTAAAGATTTTGCATACATGTAATTTCTTGTTTATTGATTTTTTTTAGGGAACAACCATAATGTTGGTTGTGAAACCCTTGGAAACTAATGTACGACTCAATTAATTGTTTTTTTTATATTTTTTTCGATAATTTATTTTTGTTCTTATGAAATTTTATAAATTTATACTTTAACATAAAATTCTGCATTCATATCCGCTCGTAATATATATATATATATAACATCTAATTTAAATTATTCGATTAATTTATTAAATATTTATGATTAATAAAGAATAGTTAATATTATATTCTAGTATTGAGGAATTAGCTTCGTTGACCGAATGAAAATTCCCTAATATTTTGTCAAGTACTAAGCGTCTGTTTTTCCCAACAAATCGTGTCTGAAGTTTTAAAACTTACTTGGATAATTCTGGTTGACCTTTTCAAAATTTTATCCCATTTATTAACTGCTTTCATCCCAAAATATTGACTTTTTCTATTTTCTAGATATAATTTATTTAAAAGATTGTTTACTCGCTATTATATTTTTAAAGTATTTATGTTTAGTTTTATATTTTATATTTCGCTATACATCTTAAATTTAAAAATAATTTTATGGGTATAAAAAATAATTTTTTTAACAATTCTTATTTAGAGAAGGGTTGAAAAATTTTATTCTAAATGAATATTAAACCTATATTCTAGGAGAAAAATAAATATCAACTAAATTTTTTTAACTAAATACTCTAAAAATTGTCGATATAAAAGTAATATTTAAGTTAAAGGTTATAAGTTCAAGTTTTACTAATAACGTATATTTAGATTTTGTCTGGCACCCTAACATTTTAGGAAGACAATTATAGATGAGACTTACGGAATAAATTCATTTACCATCTTTTATCTAATAAAATAAGAAAATCTCAAAATTAAAATTAAAAAACTAAAATTACAATTCCGAGTTGAAAACCCTAAGACGGTCCAAATATGTATATGATTGTATTGGTGGAGTTAAGGATGGTAATTAAACTCGAAATCGACGGATGTTTGTTTAACTCAATCTAATATGATTGGTTTTTAAAAAAAAATAAGTCGAGTTCAAGTTGGATTTGAGTTAGATTTTATATAGGGTAAGGTTGGGTCAGATCGAGTTTGGGTGGAGTGTGAAAATTTTCTGACTTTATCCTAGGATAATAGTGTACTCTTTTCATAAAAATTTATAGATAATTACTATAATACCCTCATCTCTATAATTTTTTTTCTAATTAGGTCTTTGTTTACATTGAGTCGGATCGGATATAGTTTATACTCCAAAAATTCAAATTGGATTGAGTTTGGATAGAGAAAATATGATATTTGGGTCAGATCGAGTTGAAGGTATATATCTTTCGGGTCGAGTCAAGTTCATGTCATGTCACCTAAAATGATTAACTAACATATGTCACATCATTCAAAATAATGATATAACACATACCACGCCATCAATTAAACATATAAAAATATCATATCGGCAACATGTGTTCTGTAACATCCTCAATACCAGGTTAGTGACTAAATTGTAAAACTTTAGAATTGGTGATTAAAGTAGAATAATTGAATAGTTCAATGACTTATTTGGAAATATTTTATGAAGGTTTGATAGAATTATGAAATAAATTAAAGGGAAAAATGGTCAATTGACTTAGAAATGAATTAAAAAATGGGATAAGGATGAGATATATACATGTGAGAAATGTGGATGAAGGAAAAGCTTTCGAGAGAACTCTCTCTTCTTCTTCATCCTCTTCAACCATGAGCCTCAGGAGAAAATGTGAGTTTTATGGTTAATTAATTATTTGCTAAATTTAACTTTGGTTTATGATCCTTAGGTGATACTTAAGCTTAAGGAAATCTTAAGTTGTCTTATAATCAAAAGATGAAGAAGTTATAAGAGATTAAAGAGAAGGTGTTTCTAAATGAATTTCTGAAAAAAAAAGTTGATAAGTTGAATTCAAAACTAAATTTGGCTTGTCATCAACTTAATTAAGAGATATGAAGTGGTAGAATTGGATTTAGAACATATTGAAAATTTTGTATGATTATTAATTTCCATATGGAGGATGGGATTTTGAGGTTAATGATGTATTAAATGAGTATAAATTTGTTTAAGCATATGTATATGAGTTAAGAACATGAAAGGGGAGGAAACATAAAGTGTTGAAGATGAAAATAATGAATTTTCATGCTTAAAATATCATTTTTGGGCAAAGTGTATCCGTACACATTCAATAGGTACCGATACACTCTTAAACGAAAAATCATCGAATACAATAAGTGTATCGATACATAGGCAGTGTATCGATACCCCTTAAAACGAAAATTTTCTAATGTAATTTGTGTATCGATACATAGGCAGTGTACCGATACACCAGTAAAGGGATGTACTGATACCCTATAGTGGGTACTGATAAACTAAAAAAGGGAAATGGAAATAGATCTTTCTTTTAGTTTAAGAAACGAAATATTAGAGTATGTCGTTTGGAATATTGATATGTATCAATGTATTATTATGTAGATATTGAACGTAACTCTGTTCCAGAACAATCGAAGAATTGGAATCAATTCGAATCAAGTGAGGCTAAGGTGAGTGCTTAATAGAGTTATAGTTCAATGGAATTAAGACTTGTGATAAGTATATTCCCTGTATTATTTTTATAGTATAATAGTTATGAACATGCATACATGATGATTATTATGAATACATGCATAAGTTATATATGTTTATATGATTTGACAAATGATATATGATTCATGTGATATGCGATAGAAGAAAAGACATATGTGATTACTAGAGAAATGACATGAGTACATGAACATATGAAACATAAGAATAATGCCCATGTTATATGATATGAGAGCTATAGGTATAGTTGATATGCCAAGAGTCGAGGGTTACATAGGTCCTTCGGGACATATACATAGGTCATTCGGGACAAATTCATAGGTCATTCGGGACAATTTCACATGCCCCTAATGGGACCCCATACGAGTTGTGGTGACAATATCTGTGCACAACCTCAATGTACTCGCGTACCTTAAGTTCTCAGTAATGTATATGGGCTTATAAAAGGTGTCAAAATTATTTGCATTATTATATGTTATCATGCTATTATTATCTACACTGGATCATATGTGACATGATTGAATAATTAGATTATATGTTCATATTTATAGGAAATGCATTATTATTACATTTTTATGCCTCACTAAGTCTAAGACTTAGCGTGTAAGCATTTTATACGTAGGTACT